AATAACTCCATTCTTGAGTCGAAAATCTACTGACTCGTCTCAACACTGACCTAAAGTATGGAACCCCAAAATGTACCAATTTAAGATAAATACTGGATAAATGTTGTCTGATGATGTCCTCAATCTACAATGTGAAATTCTCAATCCATTATGTGATGTTGTCAATTAATTCTGTTATCGCATAAACGATAAAAGTCATTACTCGCTGAAAACACGCGAGGGCGCCCTTTGGCTTTTATTGTTTGCTTTCATGTAGGCGGGACCGTGAATGATCACGTGACTGGGCTGTAACGTTTGGGTTCGCGAGTTTCTTGGATACGAAGTGTCCTTATGCAAATTGGTTAAACTTTAGGCAGAAATTGCAGTTTTCAGCGTCCCTTTCGTGAATGGGAAAGGCGGCAAGCTTCATTTTTGGACAGTTGGTGCTAGCAGTTGCACCCAAAAAAATTTCCACCACCTCCCCGCCACCACCATTATTAAGTCTTTTGGTTTGGGGCAATGAAATGGTATGGTAGAGCGACTCGCAGCAGCAACTTTAAAGTTAAGCCGTTTGATTGTTTATTGTTGAAGTTAACCATTGTTGGAATTCACAACAATTTTCTCTTTACTGTTAGAGTTTTGCCTATCGCAAATTCAGCGGTGGCCAAGCAACTATTCCTACCGCAAGTTTAACGGTGGATAGGCTAACCCTACCGCAAGTACAGTGGTGGGCCCATACAAAAAAAAAACCAATAAATGTCAATTTCTCAGTTAAGGCAAACTCCCACAGTGGTTCCCGCTACCCTTTATGTTCGTTGTCTTTGGGGCCTGCAGACTCGTCTCCGTGTTGGGTTGAAGTTCGTACAAGTACTCAGTGTACATACGTACGTTGAGCATTCCACCAAATGGTTGGATTTCTGGGTACGAGCTCTTTAATATTTTGTAATCCCACAGGTTTTTTACAAAAAGACATGCCATAATCGGGAGGGATCATAGAAATATTTCTATAGACCCTTAATTTGGGACTGGTACTTTCCAATTCGAGCATTCAGAGCTGAGCGCATAGTTTTACTACAATTTGGGGTATCTTTGGGGAAAGACGAATCAAACAAATTTTTTGTGGCTAACCCCCATAACGTTGAAACGAAAAGTGATCGTCTGGCCATAATCTTGAATTTCAAGTGGAAAAACGGAGGCCAACCTCTTCTTGAGAGTCATCAGGTGGTGCTATTTTGGTCCGATTTTGCACCGTTTTCTATGGGCGCGTATTTGGTGTAGTGCAACCTGTTGCGTTGACTTTCGGGAATTTTTATGAAAATCTTTTCAAGAAGGTCAATTTTCCAGGCACTTTTTCGGTCATGACTATTGCAGAACAACTGTTGGTGTCACGTTAACCGCCAACAGTGGCCAAGTATCACGTCTGGGATGGAAACACACTGGATGGCCAGCAACTTGCCGGCGCCTTGTACAGTATTCGAGAAATGTGCAAAAACGTTCGAACGTCACACAAGAAATGGAATAGCCCGTGGGCACACTCATAATAAAGATCCTCATTAACGGAAAAACCAAGTAGATTAAGGTCGTTCGGGTGAACAGGAAGTAAACGGAAGGCAGATTTAACATCAGACTTGGCCATTAGGGCCCCCTTACCCAGCTTTGAAACCAGTGCAACTGCATTATCGAAACTAGTGTACGAAACTGCAGTATTGATAGGGTAAATGTGATCATTGACAGGTTGGGCAGGAGATGGTAGGTTGTGAATTACACGAAACTCACTGGGTACTTGCTTGGGCAAAAGGCCAATAGGTGAGCAAAGGAGGACTAGAAAATGGGCCCACAATCCGGCCCAACTACAATTCCTTATCAATTTTTTTTGCTGCAAAATAGCTGGATGTTCCCGCGCCGAGACCAAATTTCGGGTAGTTGAACCAACTCTTTAGACCTGCATACCCAAGTCGAAAACCAAAAGAAAACCCGTTCAATAGGAAATTGGCATTTGTTTGTTAAGATACGAACTGAGAAAGGGCCGCATTTTATTTATCTTCACCGGTGTTGGCAGTTGATTGTGGGGGACCTTACTTTCGGGCTGCACTGCGGTTGGAGGAACTGCAATCATCGGCTGAATGGGCCGCGGACATGAAATTTGCACACTTCTGTGTAAAGCAACTACCATTCTGATGCAACGACCGCGGTTGAAGTCAAAACAGATTTCGGCATTCTGATCTCGCTGGAACATCGCATCGCCGGGAATGAAGTTTCCCGAGCCGACAAATGCGCGTACTTGGCTGTCCCTTCCGGTGGCGGTGAAGGGGCGAAAAGTAGGTGCCTTTGTCGGAGCCCCCAACAGCGTAAGCCACAATTCAGTGTCAATTGAAGCCCATGAACGAGTCGGTGCACGCGTTTGCTTTAGGCGAAACTGAACATCATAATCCCGGCAACCGAAACCTGCATGACGATATGCCGCTGAACGAGTGATGTCAGCGTATTTAAGCAATTGCCCCGCCTTAGTTGGACGCAGAACCATAATGGAGGAGAAAATCAGAAAAGCCAAGGTCCACTGCTCGACTGATATTATGCGCTGTGGTTGGTGATGGGGGCGGATTTGCGATGTTGGGGATTCGGTCGATCCTAGCATAAATACACGGTCACTGCAGGCTGTGGAAACACTTCGATAAGGACGCAAGAGCAAACCGAAATTCACAATTCCCCATTCCAAATTTGTCTTGTAATTGCTATGGGGGACCTCCGAAGCCAGATCGTCGCAAATACTGGTGAGGGACGAACTGCAAGCGTCAGACGTGGTAACGAGGATACGGCCAGAACTGAGTCGGCGGGTTCGGCGACAAAGAAACATTCAGGGCAGACGACATAGAATTGACCAGTGGTGATGTTGAACCTATGGCAAAGGGTAGGGAATTCCATATCTGCCGTCGTGCGTCGCCCGTCGTGCGTCGCCCGTCGTTTTTTTGTCACGATTGCGCAG